GAGAGCAGACTGAAGTGGTCCAGAACTGGACCTGAAGATGGTCAATGGGCTTCCAGTTCTCTTATTGTATCAATTGTGGGTGGGAGGTTGCGGTGGAGTGACAAGATTTTGTCTGCAAAATGGCTCACAAATGCCTCACAGACAATAGCCAACCTCCTAGCATTTGGTATGCCCTGAGGCAAAACAGTCATTGTCCGAACAATTCTAAATCCAAACTAATTTCCTTGAACCTGCTGGGACTAAGATAAGAACACAAGTTTTTGTGATTCACAATGTGGGCCAAATGTATGTTCTGTATGTTGAGAAGCACCAGTGGCCAATGGCCCGGATCCTATCTGAAGAAAGACGCATTTCAGAAGCAATTGTTGCTGCCCCAATGCGAAAGGAATGTATGCCAAAGTCGCCTGGAGGGAGGTGGGGGAGGTCTTGTGCAGCAATGCATGCCCTCGTGACACTAGTAAACTGAACAAGACAGGCAAGACCTGTTGGCATGAACCGGGAAAGTCCCAGGAGTGGCCGGCCATACCAAAAGGTATTCTGACATGCATTGGACAGGGCAGGGAAAGCCAACAGTGGCAGATGTAAAGAAGATCCGGGCCACTTTCCCCCGCTGATCCCTTTTGTGTCTGTGCAGAAAAGTCTGAAGCTCAGAATCCTGAAATGTAATATGGAGGGCCAAAGCCCGCCTGGAGTTATCTTGGTGTGATGCTGCCAACAATTCACTGCTTTTAAAAGGCCCATATAAGGCCATGGTAAAGGCTGCCTGAAAAAGTGGTTTCTAAGGCATTAAAGCAAACGCTGGGGAGCTGTTGCATGAACTTTTGTAAAACAGGCAGGATGATGGGCCTACGGGAGTTGGGTTCACAAGGGGAGGCCGTCCTTCAGCCCTCAATGGCCCTTGGAGTTAAGAAGGAATGGCAAGGGTCTTGAAAACTGCAAATTTTGCTATAGAATGAGATCACTGACATATGATTGCCCATGGTCCTAGGAGTAAACCCCCGTTCCTTTAGGTGGGCCAAGGATTGCAATATTAAGACCTCGGGGGCAGGCCATGGCTCCCCCACCCCTTGTGACTCAGAAAAAGAAAAGCAGAGACATAGGCACGGCAGGTAGAGGGGCCAGAGAGCCAAATACTCCCTGAATGATTAAACATTGCCAAGAGTCCGGAGATGCAGAGATCCTCCGGAAATTGATCTGGATACTGCTTTGCATTGGTGGCCACCTTATCCTGAAATCGAGACAAGGCGTCTGTGATGCTGTTACTGGCACCTGCAATATACCTAGCTGAGAAAAAGTTATTAGACATCAAGCAGGTTGACACAAATTTTCATTCCAAATGCATAACCCGCTCAGAGCATGATGACTGGTAGTTAACGACTGTAACCATTGCTTGATTGTCACACCAAAACCCATAAATTAGGGAATAAAGTGAAAAGTACTCGGTTCGATACATCACGACTCGGACCACAACATAAGAAACACGCGTTTACTCAGTACTTTCACATTTAGAACACAACAAACGGCCAAGTGGCCAACTATTTACATTACCAAGGGAACACCCCCTTGATTCCGTTGGGGGGTTTGAATCTCCCGCCAAGTTTTCTATTGGTTCCCCTAGTGTACCTTAGGAGCCTAGTCCCTATTGTTCTTTTGGGAATCAAGCTCTGCTCACCTGGCTACTGCCTGGTGGCGGTTCCAGGACACAACACCCCTCACCTCATAGTCCGTCCCCACCTGGGTGACATAGTCTCTTAAATATGCAGGGGCCTGGCACTCTCTTAGGGAACGTCTTGGGGTGGGCACTGGCACCGGCTCCGGGGTACTGGGGCCTGGGGCAGTGCCTTCCAGGGGCCCGGTGGGTTGCAGTACCGACTGCGGGGGCGCTGTTTCTGTTGCCCCTGGAGCGGGGTCCTGCTGTTGGGTGTTGCTTGTGCTGGGGAATTCCAGTCTGGCCTCTGGTTCTGGTGGGTCCGCTGCCTCTACAGCTGGTCTGGGGAGTCCTCCTTCCTGGCTCAGTTTCAGCTGGTCGATGTGTTTGTTGAGTACCCGACTGTCTTCTGTGGAAACCTCGTAAGAGACAGGCCCGGTGACTCTCACTATCCGACCTGCTATCCATGCTGGCCCAGTGCCAAAGTTCTTCAGGTAGACTGGGTCTCCTGGGAAGAATCCCCTTGGTGTGTCCCGTACCTCGACCATCTTCCTCGCGTCCGGCGCACGATCCAGCAACGTCGCTGGCCGATCCAGCAACGTCGCTGGCCTCCGCCCCATCAGGAGTTCGGCTGGGCTCTGGCCTGAGACAGGATGGGCATCGTCCTCTGCGCCATAAGGAATTGGGCCAGCTGGAACTCCCAATCTCTGTCTGTGATCTGGCGGAGGGCCTCTTTCGTGGTCCGGACCATCCTCTCGGCCCTCGTTGCCACTGAAAAGTACTCGGTTCGATACATCACGACTTGGACCACGACATAAGAAACATGCGTTTACTCAGTACTTTCACACTTAGAACACAACAAACGGCCAAGTGGCCAACTATATACATTACCAAGGGAACACCCCTAGATTCGATTGGGGGGGGTTGAATCTCCCACCAAGGTTTCTATTGGTTCTCCTAGTGTACCTTAGGAGCCTAGTCCCTATTCTTTTGGGAATCAAGCTCTACTCGCCTGGCTACTGCCTGCTGGCGGTTCCAGGCACAATACGAAGGCCCAGCAAATGGGCCAGCAACCCTCCCTCCCTTCCACTCTTTGGCTATCTTGCAGGCGACTATATCTGGAAGCTCCCTAGCAGATTTCAGATTAGTCTCTCTGGATGTGGAGGCACTCAAATAATATACAGAAACCTTTACTAAACCCTTCTTGGAGGTATTTGGCAGCGGCCTTATTAGGGTTTTTATCTAGCAGGAGTGCCGACTGGAGGTGAATGGGGGTTACTGCCAGATGCATGTCCAAAAACTGAAAACTTTTAGGGCTGCTCGGATGATGGAGCTGTTGAGGACCCTCCTGCACTTGACATTCAAATACATTTCCCATTGTTTCTTATATCTCCTCTTTCTTCCACATTCATGAAAACTATGTAGCTTTTAGACAGCAGGCCCTTATAAGACTTCACTGTCATCGTATTGTTCATATTCACTCAGGCCTGGTCTACACGATATAGCTTCCACATTCCTGCCATAAGTTATGATCGTTGCAAACATGTATCTGCATTGTGGTATGTAAATGATTTTTTTTTTACAAAGTGTTCCAACAATGATGTAATTCCTCCATACACCTCCCCCCCCCCAAGTTCTCATGCATTATTGCAAGGTTACTGAAGAAGGCCGTAGAAGCCCATATTTTGAAAGGAGAACCATAGACACATAGACTGATAGATGGTAACTTGGGTTGCCAATTCCAACTTGGGAAAGTCCTGGAGATTTGTAGGCAAAGTTTGGGAAGCAGAGGGTACTCAGCAGAGAAGAGATGTCCCATTAGGGATGTCACATCCAGGCCAAAAGTCAACTCCTCCAAGTCCTCCCCTTCCTGTGGGGTCATTCCATCAAGCTTTAATTTCCCACATCACAGTCCCTTCTCCCTTTTCCTCCCATCTCAATCACTTGCTGGTTTCAGTATGCATATGTTCTGTGGGTCATGCTAATGTTTTCATTCTAACACTTGTGTTGGTATAGCCAGCTCATCCAGTAATATTCCACTGAACCTAAAAAACCTCTCAGAATCCTCTCCAGTTTCTTTTTTCAGTGTTAAAGAGAAAAATCCACACTGAAGGTCCACAAGGGGATGCCAACCAAAACCAGCCCCATCTTTCTTTCTATCTCCAACTAGCCTCTGGCCTCTAGTGTTTTTTCTAGTGAAGACCAGTTTCTCCAAGTCTCTATGGCATACCACATAGGAGAAGTCTTGAAGCATTCACTCTCTCATGTTACTCTAGGACTTTCTGTTTCTCCTATACTTTCTTGCATCCTATGCCTGCCAAAGCTTCCATTTCTTCCAGGAGAACAGACCTCTGTAGTCTGGAGTTCAGTCATAATTCTGGGAGAACTCCAGACACATCTTGAGGTTGGTAGCCCTGAGTGTAATTTAGAAATGAACAAATGTGTCACATGACAACAGAACTCTGTCCGTTATGACTGTGTCAGCTAGACTAGATGTCTGTATGCTAAAATATTTAACTGGTGAATTTTAGTGATTAAATTTGTCACCTCTAGATATTGGGATGTAGATGACAGACTGTTGTCTCGTAACTCATTAAAGGTAACACTGTCTTTTTATATAAAAAAAGAAACTTGTGAAGCTCTTTTGGTACCTTTGCAGCATGCTTCCTGAGGCTTATGCCAGTTAGTCTTCAAGGGTAGCACTGTAGTAGCTAAGCTGAGAAGTTATCAAGGAACACATGATAGATATTTGGTCCTTAACTTTCTAGCATGGATGGGAAATGAGTGATACAAATGAGTGTTTTATACTGCTACACATCTGTAAAACATGTGTTGAAAAGTTAATCACTGGAAAAGATGCAGGTAGGATGTTGCTAATTATTAACATAAACTCCATTTTCTGTGAAGGACTGCCTTTTAAATCTTCCTGCCTTAAATCTCTCCGCTTTTTTTTACCCATAGTAAGGTGGGTGGCTGCTGGGTTCCTGTTACAGTGCCTCAGCTATGGTGCCAACAACAACCATTCTCCTACCACTATCTATTACTGGAGCTGTTCCTGCATATGATGAAACCTAGTACATTATTTTACTTTCCCCAAACAACTATGAACAGCTTCTGCTGTGCTACTTCAAATGGAAAGAATGTGAGCAGGGATCTTCTTTCCATAAAACGGGGGGAAATTGGCATAGGTTTCTCTTTGCCGTTATACTGATATTGGTTACCTCAGAGAAAGACAAAGCAAACTCTGTATCTGGGGGAGGGGGGATTTCTTGATATGATGTATTTTAAGGCAGTTGATGCATTGATACACTTGCTGCCACCAAGTTCTAACACACATGATCTCTTTTTGCAGGTTGGCTTGATTTATATGTTCAATCTCATAGTTGGGACAGGAGCTCTAACAATGCCAAAGGCTTTCGCTACTGCTGGTTGGCTTGTCAGCCTCATCCTAATAATGTTCCTGGGGTTTATGAGGTAAGAGTGCCTTTTGCACTTTTCTAGGGGCTTGTGTTAGTGAAACTGTGGCCTCTGTCTTCAGGACAGGCAGCCTTTCTGTCATCTTACTATTATGGTTTCAACAAGAATGTTGTATTGAGCCTTGTTGTTTGGCCTTGTATACAATATACCTTTTATAGAAGTGTCTAATGAGTTTCTGAAATTTCATTATGTCTCTTTTCTGTCAGTTTACATGGGGTTCTTATTCCTTGTATTCCAGAGCTTCCAGTGTGAGCAAAGCAGAAAATCTTTCCTCTGTGCCTTGATTTAGCTGTCTTCCTCTGTATCAGGACTGCTTCTCTTGCTGCTTTTAGGTTTTTTGCTACTAATCCATTGTGAAAACCTGATTTTTGGCACTGCTGCCTTTGAAGTTTTAACAGCAGATGTTATTTATAGTCTGCCTTTCTCCTTGGGACTCAAGGGGGTAACAGAGAGTAAGTCAATACAGTCAACAAGATGGGACATCTAATAAATCAGAGGTGTCAAACTCATTTGTTACGAGGGTTGGATCTGACATAAATGTCACTTTGTTGGGCCAGGTCATGTATTCCATAAAATGTAACGCCAGGTACTGGAAATATAAACTTTATAAAGGTGATTTCAGATGCCCAATGGCAATAGCAGGTGAATGACAATAACAAGCTTGATTGCGTTAGGTGTGATATGCAGAAGGGTAGTATGAATGGTGACATCAGCATTGGTAATGAAACAGGAAGCCTAGGTCTCATTTTGGTCCAGGAGGATTCAGTCCAGGAGTATGCAAAAATAAATGGACAGAAGTCTGACATTAGAAACCACTACATTCAAAAACCAATGGGGGAACATGTTACCTTCCAGGACATTCAGTTGCTGATCTAAGAGTAGCAGTTCTCTTACAAAGGAATTTCAAAGGGAGATTAGAAAGAGAGACTGCTGAATTGCAACTGATAATGAAGCTCAAGACAGTGCATCCTCCTGCACTGAATTGAGACCTAATTTTCCTGTCTCATCACCAATGCCTGCTATTGTCATTTGGTATCTGAAATCACTCCAGTCTCCAAGACATAAGAACAGATGGACTCACATTCTAGCTGAATCTGAAGAAGTGAGCAGTGATTCACAAAAGCTCATGCCCTGCCACAAATTTTGTTAGTCATTAAGGTGCTACTGAACTCTTGCTCCTTTCCACTAATAAAGATCGCAAGCTGTGCTGCTAGGTCCCGTCCCCCCCATCTGTTAGAAATGGAGAGGGGGATCTCTCCAAGTGGAATAATGTGTTGATTTCAGACTGGGCAAAATCCTCTCAGTGCTAGTGAAGATAATGAAACAGTTAAAAAGCAAAGGGGGTTAATGTGAAGAAAGGCAGCCAGTGAGATGGGAGGGGAGAGAGAGAGAGAGAGAGAGAGAGAGATGTGTTGAATTGGAACATATGGAACCACAAATGTATTTTAAAATATTTAGCCATCAACTTCCAGTCATTAAACGATGGAATCCAATCTGAGCACTGCAATTCCTAATCTTTTTGAAAGAAAATAAAATCCCAGATAGACACAGAGAAATCTAATCTCAAAAAATCTCAGGATAAACCAAAATAATTTCCTTTTAATTCTCCTTTCCCCTTATCCCAACGCATCTCCTTCCTGTGCCCCCTTCTTTTCTTTTAATGTCTCTGTGTGTGATCAGGTCTCAAGGTAAACAGCAGAGCAGGGTGATTTCGATTGTGCTTGTCAGAAGAATCCCCCCTCCCTCCTTCCCTCCCTGAAGGAGCATGTGTGCACATGAAAGCCCTTGAATAAAACTTTGTTGATTTTAAAAGCGCCACTTTATTCAAACTTTGTTCTCTCTCTCTCCCCCTCCTCCTTCCTTCCCATCTTAGTCAGTAGTAGCAAAGAATAAAGGGGGGGGGAACCTCGGCCAATGGAGGGAAGGAGGCTTGGCTTTGTATCTCTCCCCATGTGATTATGGGAGACAGGCGAAAGCGAGCAGTGGCAAAGCAGTAGCAGCAGCCTCAGTGAAGGAAGCTGTAGGGAGCCAGTTGCTTGTGAGCTGGCTACGACCCGTGCACAGGCTGGTTCCAGCCCGTGGGCCATATGTTTGACACCCCTGCAATAAATAATGCAGTAAGATTTGGGTTGCAAAAATCTGGAACAGAGTGGGAATAAACGATAAATATTAACACGAAGCATTAAACAATGCAGAATTTATATAGTAGGATCCTACTTCAGCAACAGGCAGTACAAACTACTCTCAGTAGTATCATTCACAGTCTCTAACCCTTTCCAGGCAGCTTGTTACAGTACAGCCCTATTACCTGTGTAAAAAGCCCTCTTGAATCATTCAGTTTTGCATAGTTTGTGGAAAGCCAGGAGACTGGGAGCTAACCTGACTTCATCATGCAGGCCATTCCATAATGTGGGGGCCACAACAGAGAATGTATATGTATATGAGCAATTTTTTATTTTGTCCATTTGCAGAGTGGTACCTGCAGGAGGCTGTTCTCCAATAAGTGAAACTGCTGTGGCAGAGCATGGTGGGGGAGGTGGTCCTGCAGATACGAGGGACCAAGGTCATGAAGTTCCTCCATAATGTCTGTTCCTTGTCTCTGAATGATGTTTGAAATGCTACTTGAAATGCTACTCCTGTTGTGGTAGAGCCCATGATTCCTTTTAAGAGGAAGAGTGGTATTCTTTTTTGCTGGTTTCAGTTTGTTAGGTTAGGGTCTTCTGTTTTGTTCTATGTGAACAGTGAAGTGGGGGAAGAAGTGTGCAAATTCTTATCCTAATAGCTTGAAATGTATACTTCTTGTGGGGGAGAGGGTGATATCCAAACAACTTGATTTTAAGAGTATGCAAAATCTGCATCAATCTGGCCAGAATTATTCAGATCATGTATTTTAAATTGTGAACTCATAAACAACAGCTGTAGGCAGAATAATAATATTATGAGAAAAAATTATACTGCTGCTAAAAATAGCATCCCCAGTTGAGAAGGATGTCCGCCACTGGAAGTCAGGAAGCTAGCCTCTCTTCCGCATTGGAGATTGCCATGTAAGCACATTGCGCCTTCATATTAACTTCTCTCTTTTTTACCTGGAGAAAAACTCCACGCTAAATTGTGCATCATTCCCTCCTTATATCACGGTAAAGCTTTCCCAGTATCCTGATGGCTTAAACAACTTCAGAGAATGAGCTTTTCCTTTGGTTCTACATAGTCTGGATTTTTCCAGTTTCACTTTTGGGGACAGGATTTTCCACTTTTGGGGATGAGGTTTTTCCAGTTTCACTTTCTCTGTCTTTTTGCTTGCTGACTTCCTTTTCTTCTGTTTGCTCTCCACATTCTTCTCTCCATTGCACTTGTTTAATCTTTTGATCACTTGTTCCTTTTTTAGTCAAAGTAATAGTGATGCAATCTGTGGAAGACAAGCCCTTGGAAGGACCCATTTCTTTCCCCCAGAGAGAAGCTGCAATCTAGCTTTCTATTGCTATCTTGGCCTTTACCCTTCAATAAAGACCAGGGACCAAGGCTCTTCAGTCCTGGGTACGGACCACCTACTGCAACATGCCAATCTCAGAGTCCAGTGATCCAAGGTTGCTGTATCAGTTCACTCCCTGGACAATTAGCTGATTAATGGTGGAGCTTGGAAACTGATGCATTCTTACATTCATGTAGCTCTTCTACAGCAAATGTTAATGTCTGGTCAGTGTCTTGGGGCAGTTCCCAGAACAAATATTAAGGAGCAGCCAGGGCTCAGCGACAGTGAGGACTCCTCAGAGGAGGAGGGGCCCTGTGTAGCCAGCATGCAGCTGACCAGCAGTTGACAGTAGCTGACCAGCAGGAGAATGAGGTTCAGGCATTCCCTGACTTGCAGGTGAGAGCTGGTGCAGAATCATCTCTGCCCTCGCGCTCTGATCTGGCAATTGAAAGTCAGCCACCTGCCCCCCTTTCCCCAGAGTCACGAGCACCCTTGGAATGTTGCAGAAGAAGGCTCAGAAAAGACTTATAGGCTCGGTATTGGAGTGTATGCCACACTATTCAGCACCAGGTGCCTTCAGACAGTGGAGATGAGTCTTTGCAGTTTAGTCACTGAGAAGCTGGCTGCATGCATGCTGTCTCAGTGGCTATAAAGACTCATGAGAGAAGCTCGTGGGGGTGGATGCAGTGTGTAGAGAACTGTATGGAGAACTGCCTGGGCTGATATTTGGTAACCTGACTGCTTCAACATTACGCTTCTTAGAATCCCTCTGCTCCTGTTTCTGCCGAGGTTGTAAAACCGGACTCCTGGACTGCTTCAACATTGAGTTTCTGAAAAATCCATCTGGCTTTGTTGCTACTGACACTGTAACCTGACCCCAGGAGCCTGTTCCAGCTCTAACCAGCCTCAGAACACTACCATTTTTCTGACCAGTTATAGAATTTCTTTCCTTAATCAACATCTTCTTTGAGTCTGAGTATATTGTACCTTAATCTGTTATTTAGAATGGTAGGGATCCCCACATACAGTCTCCAGATGGTCAAAAGTGGCCATAAATCACTTTCTGGTGACTGGATGCCTAGTTCAGACTGAGGTACTCCTTCTGTAAATTCTCCATGTGTTCCAGAGAACTCTTGGGAGCAAGGATTTCTCAGCAAGCAGGTAGGAGAGAGAAGCTTTATCTTTCCTTTGAGTTCTCTGGCATGCCCAGAAAGTTCATTGAAGGGGTCAGTACATTGGAGAGGCTGAGAAGCAGCAAGAATCTCGTTCCCTTGCATTTGATGGTCTCCAGCCTGACTTGAGGTGAAAGACTGACCCAGCTCCTTCTCTGAATTCTCTCAATGTATCAGAGGAGTTAGTGATGACCACAAATAATAGGGGGCACCAAGGCAACCAAAAATTTGTGAACCCTGCTGATGAATATACTTGCTATTTTAACTTATTATGGCTATTGTAAGCATTTAACTTTCTCATCCCAAGGTACTTATCTTTCAACAGAAAATAGTGATTCTGTCTTTCAGTACACTTTCTTCCTGAGCCCTGTATATATGTTGAGGCTTAATCTTATAAATTGCTTTACATCTGTAGAAGAGAAAAGCTCTATAAAAGTGTAAATTTTTTTTGAATGGAAGGCACAAATCATTACAATAGCAGTGAATGAATTGCTTTGGGGAGAGTCTTTATACAAGAAATTGTTCCAAAACCTTGAAGCCTGCTATTCCCTATCTTTCTGTTTTGATTCTTTTCCAATTAATTTCTTGATGCTGCTGGGGTGTGTACAGATATGCTATTTCATGTTTCATCTCAGCCTTGAAATGTGTTATCCACTGGTGGTTCGCGGTTCGAGAATTATTACTCTGATACTTCCATTACTCTCTTTGGCACTTCTGGTTGCTTAATACCTTCTGGAGAATGTTGATTGTCGTAAAAGGACACAAGGGAAATCATTACCGTGGCCTCTGGAAGGAGCTGCTATGCTTTAATCCTAGTAAAACTAATTTCTCATTCCATCTTGATAAATGAGTTTAGTGTGTATAGCAGCAAAAAGCCATTTTGGAGGTTTAAATAAGATCGATTTTTAGGTTCTGGTAAAAATGAGAGAAAGAATCCTTTAACTGGGGTAATGGCCATTCACATGTAAGATCAACAAAGCAAATTGTGATGCTGAGTGGAAACCTCTGATGGGTCAGTTGTTCCTAGCTATTTCACTGACAAATCTTGGTAAAGGTTTTCAGTCCTTGTCTTTTAAAATCTTAAAGTGGCCCATCTTTCTTGGCCTAGCAATTAGGCATAGATTTTGAATAAATGTATGTATTCAAGTAAACTGGATGTGCCCTTGATAATGTACTTCAGTTGCATCTTCTGTTCAAGAATCTAGGTCCTCTGCAGCCGTGACAATTTTGTCACACTTTGTGGCAAAATATTTTCCCAAGTCATTTGCTGGTTAATATGTTGTAAATCCTGTGGGGCTGGGACAGAGTAAAACATTTGTGAAACATGCTAATTCTGTTACTTATTGAAATTAGTTTTTCTGTTAGGAGTAAGACTTATCCTTCTCAATCTTAAGCAACAGACAAATGTAACACAATTTGTATTGGAATTCTCCCATAAAATGAATGAGAATGGCACACAAAAGTAGCTTTGATCTTGTTTGTCTCTCCTTCCGTTGTGTTGAAGTTGTGCAGACATACCGTTTTGGGCGAAGAGGGGACATTGCAACTTACTCGTGTTATCTTCAAGTAATGAGTAACTTTCATTTTCATACTAGCTACATGACTACAACTTTTGTAATGGAGGCCATGGCTGCTGCAAACGCCCAACTTCGTTGGAAGAGAATGGAGAAGCACAAGGTTTGTGTGATAACTTAATTTCATTCCAAATCCCATTGTTCTGTAGCCTAATGTTGTCATTTGACTGGCTTTCTCTAATATTTACCCTGTAAAATATTTATTTATTTAATTAATTTATACCCCGCCATCCCCGCGAGCAGGCTCAGGGCGGCTTACATAATTGGTCTATAGTGACCATTAATTCACATAAAAACAGTTTAAAATTTCAAATACATAAAAACATAAACTCATAAAGTGTTAGTGCTGATACATTAGGTACATAAGATGGCATGCTGGAAATACCATACAACCAACCAGTTTGCCACTCAGTGGTCTTCCTGAGCACAGTGGGGGAGGCCAGATGTTAAAACTATGGGCCGGCTCGTTGGTAGTAGTGGGGACGGCTCCTAGTTGAAAGCCTGGTGGAAGAGCTCTGTCTTGCAGGCCCTGCAGAACTGCACAAGATCCCACAGGGCTCTGATCTCCTCCGGGAGCTCATTCCACCAGTATGGAGCTGCCACCGAGAAAGCTCTGGCCCTAGTGGTGGTGAGCCTGGCATCCTTGGGACCTGGAACGGTCAGTCGGTTCTGGGACCCCGACCTCAGTGCTCTCTGGGGTATATATGGGGAAAGGCGGTCCCTCAGATATGTGGGACCCTGGCCATATAGGGCTTTAAAGGTAAGCACCAGCACCTTGAAGTGAATTTGGTATGCTATTGGCAGCCAGTGCAGTGCCTTCAATACAGGCTGGATGTGCTCCAATCTGGGAAGGCCCATCAAAAGCCTGGCCACAGCATTCTGTACTAGCTGCAGCTTCCGAATTTGCAACAGGAGTAGCCCCATGTAGAAAGCGTTACAGTAGTCTAGTCTCGAGGTGACCGTCGCATGGATTACCATAGCTAGGTCGTCGCGGTTGAGAAAGGGAACCAAATGCCTGATCAGCCGAAGATGATAAAAGGCTGACCTGGCAGTGGCTGCCACCTGGGCCTCCATTGTTAAGGAGGAATCCAGGAGCACTCCCACACTCCTAACCTCTGGCGCTGGCACCAATGGGGCCCCGCCGAAGGTTGGGAGTAGGGTTCCTCCTCCCAAACCGATCCAACTCATGCACAGAATCTCTGTCTTCGTCGGATTCAGCTTCAGCCAGGGGCACATATACCGCTCAAAAGTCCACTACAAATCCTTCAACATTTGTCTCATCATGAATGTCAGACTTTCCCCCCAGTTCTGGAACAGTAAGATTAATAAAAGGTCAGCAATTGAGGCAATTAGTTTCTGTTCAAATACATAAATGCTAGGTTTTCAGAACTTCTGTTTGTTGGCAGAATTCCACAGTAACCCTATATTTTGGGCAGTTATGGTCATTTCTTGCTCTTCTAGGAAGATGATGATGAAGATTCTTCATCTGGAGTTTCTGATAATGATGTTCTCCTTCCAGATGGCTATGAACGATCAGAGACGCGGCCTATTGAGAGAAACAGAAAAGATTTACAAGGACTTAACTCCTTCCCGGCAGATGTTTTCAGAAAGTGTCGTCTTAAATTTGGCTGATAGAAAAGAGCTTGAACCTGACCTCAAGATCAAGAAGCCTGTGAGATGCCACTGGGCCCCGAGGATGAGACCAAGGAGGAAGAGGCTTAAGATTGGCGGTGTTATCCCTTTGGAGACGGAGGAGGGTTGCAGAATTTCGAGTGAACGTCTAAGAAGCCATCAAGACTTTAGAGAGAATTAGCATAGATGTAAAGGTGGAAGGACTCTGAAAATTGCCCTTACGAGGAGAGCTGGAGGAGATGCTCTGGAAATCTTCTCATAACAAGTAATAAACTAACACATAAGCTTAGAAAGACAGGATCTCACAAAGTATATTGTTTATTAAAAGGTTTTTTTTCATTACTAACTGCAGTCTAACAGGGTAATGATCTCCTACTCTTGGGTTTTTAGTTTAGTGTGGGTTACTTTCCTTTCTCCTTAGTTGTAGTTCCCCTTCCCTTTTTCTTTTCTGTGTAGTTTATGTAGTATTATAAAAAATAAAAAAAAATCCCCTCCGGGGGCCTTAAAAAAATGAATGTCAGACTTTCCCCCCAGTTCTGGAACAGTAAGATTAATAAAAGGTCAGCAATTGAGGTGATTAGTTTCTGTTCAAATACATAAATGCTAGGTTCTCAGAACTTCTGTTTCTTGGCAGAATTCCACAGTAACCCTATATTTTGGGCAGTTATGGTCATTTCTTGCTCTTCTAGGAAGATGATGATGAAGATTCTTCATCTGGAGTTTCTGATAATGATGTTCTCCTTCCAGATGGCTATGAACGATCAGAGACGCGGCCTATCCTTTCTGTTCGTAAGTATCTAGCCGATGCCACTTTAATTATAATGAAGATGCTTTTCCCACTTACCTGAGTGCTCCTATTCAATTAAAAGAGAACAAATGGATCAATAAGACCATTCTGCTCTTCTGCAATATGAGTAGTACGCAGATACGCATTCTTTCCTGAGAGGTCTGCTGTTATACTTGTGAATCAAAGCTAGTTTATCAAGACTGCAAGCCAAGGCAGCTGGCCTAAGTATTTCTGCTTCCAAGAGGTCATGCTGACACAGAACACATTATCTCAATGTCCTATGAATATTCATCTTGAAGACTCTGTTTTAGGTAACATGTACCCTCCTGCAAATGCTACCCCAAAATTTAATAGCCCACAAACTTTACTTGCTCACCTAACTCGCACATACCTGTAACACCATTCAAAGGGAAGACCAGTCTGGCCCCAGCCATCTGCCAGGCACGGAGCAGATGCAGAGTGCTTCTGTTCTCCCTGCTAGCAAGAGCACTGCTCTAATTGTAGTGGGTTGACAAGTGGGAGGAGAAGGATGCAGTATTATTTTAATTTGTTGTAAGCTGCCTTGAAAATTGTTTGGTTGAAAGGCAGAGTACAAAGATTTTTTTTTAAAAAAAATACATAGTAGTAATTTCTGGCCTAAATCTTTTTTTAAAACCCTCTTCTAAAACATGCATTTCTGGTATTTTTGGAGTTGATGTGGTGAAATGGGCCCACAGGTATGTCATTATCTCACAGGGAATGTAGAACTTATTCAACTAGCCCAGGTCTCAAGCTGCAAGACTATAAGGTATTCACCTCTCCAACAAACACACATATAGGATTCCTTTTTTGCTAGCACCAACAGAGTGAGAGTTAGAGGTATGTTTGTCTAGTAATCTGAAACTCAGACTCTGTATTTCTGTCTCTCAAGATAACTTTCTTCAAATGAAATATTACTGTTCTCCTCTAAACCATCATGGATGTAGGGGAACCTTGAAAATCTCATTTAGAATAATTCAGATTCGCGCAGGTGTCCCCCTACCGTCTCTTTGTACCTTGCTAAGCATGGGCTGAGTTAAGCTTCCATGTGAATAGGATAGACCACCATAACACCAGTTTCGGAAACAAATATATAGTTACTTGTATAAGCAGTCAGTGTTTACAACAAGAACAAGAATATAGCTGCACAACAATTTACTGCGACATCTGAGCAAAGGAAAATAAAATGAATAATACATGCATCCTCTCACCCTAGGTCTAAAACATACCCCCTCTGATGGTGAAGTAAGAGGTAGGCAGAATAATCTTAAAGTTTCTAGACTTCTGTTCAGGCTCTATACATTTCTTTATTTCTTCACCACTTTTCTTTTTGGCCTAATTCCTAAAGGGCTAACTCTGCTCACCCACCCGAAGAATATAGAAGTCTTTTCTTTCTCTCCACACAAAGGACAGAGATTCTACTATATAGCCTATTAGACCCCTCCTAAAATTACTGGCCAGCCCCCAGAAGATCCTTGCAGCCTGCGATGATTAATGCAGCCCCCAGGAAATGGTGTGTTCTCTTGGCTAATTCCATTAGCATATGATTTGAAATCCTACCCGTTTGGCTAGGTAGCCAAAATGTTACAGAACAACCTGGTAAGGTTTTATGTTAGCCTCTGAGCAGTCAGAAGGTGCAAATCCAACATTTGCCTGCAAAGTTGTAAATTGTCACCCAGGTTCCTGGAGTGAAGTGTCATTTTCCCACAGGTGATAGGTGCCATAGGGAACCCATGCAATGGGTTGTTTAAAAGACTGGAAAATGTAGAGAAGGAATGGCTTATGATTATGGCTTGGGCAGAGTCTTTGTGCTACCTGGAAACATTTTGGAAAAAAAGTCTAAGAATGTCCTTTTTTCCAACCTGCAGAGAGACGAGGAACACCCAATATTTTTGAAATCACAGAAAGGATAGAGATGGGTCAGATGGCCTCAATGTTCTTTAATAAAGGTAATTACCTCCAAGCCCCGAAGATCCTGCTTCTTGGTGCATTGTTGTGTTGCTTTTCCCTTACAGTTGCTGGAAATTCTTTATACTTCACTGGAGTTAGACTGGTGGAACTCTGCATTGGATTGCACTGTTAGTGTTCATAGTAATAAAGAAAAGGCTGAAAATGTGATGTGACACTAAATGTCCTACAGGTTCAAACCAAAATACAAATTTATTTTGATAAGGGTTGCCATTTGGAGAGATTACATGAACTAAAACTCCTGGTTTTGGCAACCAGCTGGCTGGAATAGCCTGCTGCTGATAAATGCCTTATTAAAATGCTTAGACCCAGGTGACTTGTTAAGAGGTGTGAGTAAGACTTGCATATAGAAGACATGATGCCTTCCCATTTTAATTGCTGTTACGGATAACATCATCCAGTAGAGGGTGCACATATCACACACAGTAATTCAGAACAAGGGATGTTGGGTGTTATCTGCCTTAACAAAATACTAATTACTTGGTAATTACAGAAAGAAATTGGAAAGGCTGTAAGAAATGCCTCCTCTGAGTTGAGGATGACCAAACAAGAATTTTGTGATCAAATTTGCTACTTTCTTCTTTGATGTAGGAAATGGCACTTTTGTACTGTAGAATTCTGAAAGCACCATGCATGTTTCACACATCCACAGCTGTCAATATGAACTTTCACCTCCAGAGAATTTGCTTCAGTTTCTTTTACAGCTTGATTCTTTTAAGAAATGTTTTAAATGTAAATTTGGTGTCTAGTGAAGTTGTAAAGACACTGAAAACCATGTGAAGCAGTTTGTGTTGAACCTTTATAAGGATCTATACCCTCTTATTTTGTTATACTCTCTTATTTTGTTATCTCTACTGAATACAGTAGTCTAACCAGATCATGTAACTTTATGCACATTTGAATAACGTGCAAATCTTTTCAAACCCAAGTAGGCTAGACCTTATTGCTTTCATTCCTGATTTGTTTTTAACAGCTGAACATCCTACTTGTATTGTCTGTTTCCACTCCATTCACTCACAAATGTTGCAGTGATGGCCAGCTTGTAGCAGTTTTTCCAGAGTAGGGGAAGACAGATTTTAGCCTTCCAGAACTACTGATTTTTCCCCAAGTGTCACACAAAATGGTGACTTGATAGGTGAAGCCAGTCACAAAATGACAGTGCATACACAAAGTTATACCTAACACCATTGTCCATTTTTAACACCATTGTCCATTTTTCTTATACCTACCCACTGTATATATTTCATTTTGGACAATTTGACCTTCATATCAACCTTTTTGCAATGCTTTCCAGCCAGGCTCCTCACAAAAGAACATAACTATGCCAGCTCAGTGAGTATGTTAACACTGCATTTACTTGGCCCGTTTCTTATTACGTACAAAAATTTACATAATTCACTCAGAGCATATTACTTTCAGAGTTTCAAGTCTTGATAAAGAAAGGTTGAGGCTCTGTTATAGATTACGGTGAGAGTTATTGGCCTGTTAAAAAGCAGAATCCTTTTTTTCACTGTATTTTCTGCTGGCTTCCCTTGACTGTTTTAACAGTCTGACATGATTTAGATCTGCCGTCTTTGATGTTAAGCTGTGGTTAAATCTTCCACCTCTGACTTGACTTCTTTCTGTAGGGAGCAGATTTCCAGTCTTAACTCTGAGGGGGGGGGGGGGGGGGGGGCTACTTACCATTTCCTGTGGAGGAGCCCTAGTCTGAGGGATAGTTGGGTGCTCTTTACTGGGGATCTGTGAGTCATTTATTGTAATAATGAATTCTAGGCATATACATCATGTACTTTCCTTGCAGGAAGTAATTGATCTTCCTGTTTTGTGTGCCGTAATGAAAGTATTGATTAGTGAGGGTCAGTGGCAGTTTATAAAGCAGAACTGACACTAACGTCTGTCTGTAGGAGGAGAGGATGGAGGTTGGCAAGCAGTACTGTCATGTGAAATCCATTGCGGTTTATGAAGATCTACCAGTCCTGAATAAGTAACAGAGAAAGGGACTGTTCTTACAGAAGAGCAGCAAGACTGGGTGAAAAGCTGAAGATGCAGATTCCCAAGAATAAGGGGCCTTAAAATAGAAAGCTGATCTTAGACTTAACTGAATACTGTCTCTTGAATCAAATGCTTTGGGCTGCTGTGGTCAAGGCACACTCATTTCTCTAGTCCAAAGAATGAAAGAGAGTGATGTGATCAGCACCTCATCAACAGTTTTATTTCCTACCCAAATAATTCTTTTATAATCAAATGGGCTATAAAGCTCTGGTCTGATGTACGAGCATGATTCTAGCCACTGTAGTTAGAAAGCCCTAATCACTTGAACACCACACCTTACTGGTATATTAATATTGGCTATGAATAACTACTATTTCTTCCTAAATGTTCACATTTGCATCTGATCTACTTTGCCCATTTGTATGGAATAGTTTGGGCATTGACTCCTGCCATTTGTGGAAACCAAACTCATGGAGGTGTGACCCATTCAAGCATTTGCTAGAGGAGGATCTGTGGCTCAGTGGTAGAGCATCTGCTTGGTGTGCAGAAGGTCCCAGGTACAATCCTTGCCATCTGTAGCTAAAACAATCAGGTGGTAGGTGATGTGAAAGACCTTTTCTGCGTGAGACCCCAGAGAGTTGCTGCCAGCCCTAGTGGGCAGTACTGACCTTGATAGAGCAATGGTCCGATTCAGTATAAGGCAGCTTGATGTGTTTATGTGTGCTCTTCATAGGTTTTAAAGTTTCAGTAAAGAGAGACTCCAAAGAAAGAGAGGACTTCCTTGACTTTTTTTAAAAAAAGGGCCTGCCTCAAAGAAAAATAATTCTTCCTCTTGTTGACTGTCTCAGATAAGAAATATCAGCAGAAAATGAGCCTTTCTGAACATTTTAGGTGAAGACTAATTATAACACCAGCTTATTGCAGGAATAAATATCTGGTGCCATCTTTCAGACTTTTGAGAATCCCATCTTACTGTCCTTTTTCTAAAGTTTAAAATTCTCATGGTTTTATTTATTACTGTGGAGATGAGTTCCAAATAGATTAAAGCAGTGTGTTAAAGTCTTTGAGACTAGCCTTGGATTATGGGCAGGGTGATGCATTCGCAGCATTTTGATTCTCCTTGTGAGTCCAAATTCCCTTGCTGTTTCCTACTGCCTGCCAGTAGTTCATGAAGACTTCTTCCTTTATTAATTTAGGGCAATGTATTCTTTGTTTACTTGTCTCTTTCAGACAGCTACTGAGGCGGCATGCAGGGCCGGCTCACCCGCTAGGCGAACTAGGCCTTCGCCTAGAGCGCGAGCCGGCCGTTAGGGTGTGGGAGGAGAGGCAGGGGTGGCCACCGGCGCGCCTGGCCAGCGAGGGAGGCAGTGGTGCCACGCAGCCCGCAGGAGCACCCTCCATTGAGCCAGGTGCCGCAGCCCGCGGCGACACCAGCAACTGGGAGGAGCGCCGGCTCTGCCAGCTGCAGGAGGAGGACGTGTGGTGGCAGCGTGGGTAGGGCGCGGCCCGCAGCGACACCAGCAGCTGGGAGGAGCACTGGGGCTCCGAGGAACGCTGGCTCTGCCGGCTGCAGGAGGAGGACGCGTGGCGGCGGTGGCAGTATACAGAGGGGCTATGACCTGTGATTTCGATGCTATGCATCAACTGTCTTGGTACCTGAAATTTACGTGTCTCACTTTAGCAGGGAATGTGAGAACTGTGCTTCAGACATTTCAAAGAGACACAGAAACTATAGTAATAATGAGCTACCCTGTTCCATATATGAGGTGTAATACCTGAAACCAGTCTTGGCTACAGTAGCATAAAGCACAGCTGTAAATTGTAGCCAGACTTGTATTTTTCTAGGAGTAACAGATGTCACAGCCAGTGTTCCCTCTAAGCTGAGTTAGTGTGAACTAGCTCACCATTTTTTAACCTCTGGCTCACAAATTTTTGTTTTAGCTCAGGAAGGATGGCTCCAGAGCAAACTAATTTATGCAGTAGCCAAATCGCTCACTCACAACTTTAATGCCAGTAGCTCACAAAGTAGAATTTTTGCACACAAAACTCCACAGCTTAGAGGGAACATTGGTCACAGCAATGTAGTCATAAATGGAAGGTTCGGTTCTGGATGCTAGGGTTAGAACACTATATTAAATATTTTCATGAAACACCCCACAATAGCAGCTGAGGTATGTTTTAACATAGAGATACTAATGTTATTTGGGGTTTGAAGTAAGCATTGAAATTTCAGACCTATTAGTATTCTTTTAGAGCTCCTTTGATTTCTTGCTTTTGTACCATTGTCCTATAATCTTTTAATGTAAAACAATAGCATGTTTTGTTTCCCTGTCTCATCTGCCTTTTGAAATAAGGTCTGTTTAGATGCACTCTGCATTGTATAGGTTGAGGTGTTCAGTTTTGTTCCTTTCAATCCAAGTTGGTGCATTTTGGCATCTCTTTATCCTTATTGATGATCTCTGCTCATCAGAGCACAGTTACCTCTTGGTGATTCTCCGGTGGTCCAGAAGTGGGGCAGTCCTTCAGACTCCTTACTCCTGGGAAAGCGCCTCCTCTCCGAAGGCAGGGTGGTAGACTCTTTAGGCACGCAGGGGGAGGGGCTTGTCCCCTGGAACCCAGTCTCTCCGTCCCTGCCTTCCGAGCAGGATGTGGTAGACCGTGCTCCTTGGGAGCACAGAAGTTACACAGAAGAGAAGAAAAGAAGAAATCAGGCAGCAGAAAACATCAGGAGAAGGACAGGAACAGATAGCTGGCCAGCTTCCCTGTTGCCTCCCCCCCTTCCTCCTTGTTGTATCAAGCCGTGGGAGAAGGGCGGCATTGGACCCAGACAACCCCTGGGAAACCGTGGCACCACTGAGACCCCCGCTACGCTGCCAGTCCTGGAAGGAGGGACTGGTGCGACGTGTCTCCACTCTCTTCCCTCAGAGAGAAGTGGAGGGGGTCTCCAATGTCGGTGTGGCAACCACGACTGCGAAGGAGAGCCATCGCC